CACGTGGCTTATGTTAACAGTCACTGAAATGTAGCCTCATCCTTTTGTCCTTAATACTTTAGAATTAAAATCAAGGAACGCATAAGAAAAAACAGTACTTTTTTTGCCTGTCATGCAACACTTTATGTGACACTGCCTGCTTTCCTATCAAAAATGTCATCTAATGTTTAAGTCGTAAGGCTCTTTTAAATAGGAAGAAATACATTTCTGTGTAATGCACATAGGTAGATATATTTTTATGTTCTAGATTGAGAAAGTATATGAAAATACCTGCCTTGGTCTTTAAATTGCTCCTTTGTGTACAGAGATAATTTAACCCAAAGATGGTCTTTGTAATTTTCATTCTTCAGCTCTTGGTTTGATAAAGGATACAATGATATTTTTTACGAGTGAACAGGGCTTGAGATGAACTTACAGAACTTCTTGTGAATCGCAGGGTTACCTGTGGTAGAAACGTGTGGTACGTGCATTACCTAGGAGATGCGTTGTGAAGCATAAAATGGTGAGAAAATCTAGCTCTTGAATTACAATCAACCCTACTTGCCTTCAGGGATTAGTAGGGGAGAAAAGGTAATAAAATACTCTAGATTCTGTTCTAATGGCCCCGTGGACAGCATTGTCAATCTTGCTACAATTACAAAATACGGTTCAGTGTAGACTAATTTAGAAATGGTGCTTTGCTGTTAGAGTGGCAAACCCAGAATGTACTTCGATTATTTTCTATAATTTAAACCCCATGAAAACAAATATTTTTTACATTAGATTCAAGGATATTTAGCTCACATTTAGAAGTAACCCTGTGAAACTTCTGATATTTCTGTTTCTTTTAACATTAAGTCTTAAGTGAAACAGAAGACAGCCCAGCACTAAATTACCTCCTTGTTTTCTGTTTAGAAGAATAAAGTGACTGTCAGAGTAAAGAGTTTCAATGAAAGCTTAAAATTATGTTTGTGTAATGATCATATTTGCATTCTAACATGAAACTGGCCACCTATGACCATCTACAGTTAAAAGTTTTTTAAATAATATGGAAGGGTTTCAATGTAGTCTTAGAGAAAACCTTATTTATTCCCCTTTTTTAAAAAATGAACTCTTAACACTTTTCTCCATTTATATAATGCTTAACAAATAGCCGATGGTCGTACGGAGGCTTTATACAATCTAGAGATTTTTCCCTTCTACTCCGTACTGCTTTCCGGTGTGAGAGTTGTAGCGTGTTTCCCCTGTAGAGGTTGCCTCGTTTGTACCACAGGTTTTCTTGTTTGTCACTTTTCATCCCTAAAAATCAGTGCTTAAAAGCATTGCTTCATTCAAGCAAGCATATGAAATCGGTATCAGGTCAGCCAAGTCTTGTTTATTTTTTCCTGGAGCCTGTATGATGGGTGTAGAATATGCAAGAGTATATGCAAAGTGCCTGAAGTTCCCTTGGCTTTCCCGGAGCTGGGTGGTGGGAAGGTGGTGGGAAGCTGTCCCGGTGGTGGAGCTAATGCCTCATGGGAGATGTGACTGGGTCTTACTTTTTCTCACAGCCAGGTTATGTAAAAAGGCAACATGAATATTTGTTCTTCTTAAATTTCAAAAATATTTCTCTGGTAACCTCAGTGATTAATGTGCATAAAAACCTGAAATTCCTTGGAACTCACTGAGGGGGCTAGTCTGGTTTGATCTTCAAGAGGAAAGAAATGCAAGCGTGTCGGTGACTCATGTAAAAGCTGACGGTGTGTTGCTGTGCTGGCCTCTGTGCCAAGGTAAAGAACAGAATCCCTGCCTCAAGGAGCTCTTGGACTAAAGATACGAATTAGGTACGGATCTGGATGGGTATTCCATCCACCTGTAATTTGACTTTGAACAGTCAGTTCCTCTGTCCATTCCAGGGTTTTAAGATGTTTATATTAACTCTGGATACTTGTGCAATTGTCCTAGTTGGAATGTGAACTTAGAAAGTTTGGGATGATGTTCACAGGTAGTACAGACCTTTCTTACTGGTCCCTTTGCTTTAAGCAGTCTGCTCTCGAGCTGACCTTTTCATGTAAATCTTCCCCAGTTACTGGCCCAAAATACACCTGAAATTGCAACCCTCCTGCAGACTGGAAGGCTGCACGAACCGTTGAGGAGTGCCAGGTGCTCAGCATGAGCACACTTTTTGCAGGACAAGCTTGGAGTAAGTTCGGGCTTTGAGTGATTTAGGACTCCTGCAGACGTTTTTCATGCTTCTTCAGCAGAGTATCTTTGTCATTGGGAGCGACGTCCTTGGTACAGAATTGCACGGGTGGTTATGCAGCTTCCTGTAGAGGGAAGAAAGCTCAACACATTTAATTGGAGGTATACCAAACACAAAAGATGTGATTGTTGAAAAACGTTTTAAAAAAACTTTTTAAAAAAAAAAAAAAAAAGGAGACATGGCCAGGAGCCCATTAAGTCTCAGCTGAAAAGAAGACAGGAAAATCTGAGTGGATTGCTTATTCTTAAAATTCCTTAAAATGAAAGACAGGAAAAGCAGCACATTTTTGCAGAAGACTATTGGATTTCTGTATGGTTTTATTTCTTACGTAGAATAGAGTGTTGCAGGGAGGGCTGAGATGACAAAATAATTGAAGCAACTGCTAATAGCATTTCAAATTTCAGGCTGATTTTATTGGAAAAATGTCTCTGCATAGGTTATTAATAAGTTGAACTGGTTGCATAAACAGTTTGCATTTTTTAAATTTGGTAACATAATTCTTGCTCAGATATCGTGTGAGATTAGTACATCTGTCCTAGGACCTTTATGCAATTATCAGAAACATTGAAGAAATGGAGAAAGGAAAAATAAATTAGAAGAATCCAGGCCAGAGTTGCAGATGCCTCTTTTCTCAGCAGGGGATAGGCAAGTGATCCTGATCTTCAGAATTAAATCTTTTAATCTGGTTGGTAACAGTTACCTTAAGGCTTCAGTTTTGTTGCACTTAACTAGGGTATTCGCGTAGCAAAGATTTCTCTTAATGTGAAATTCTGAAAGCCGGAGACAGAATTGATAAATCACAGTTAGCTATCTTCCTGACCTGCCAAAAGAGCATTCTTTAGTTTCGGCGTTGTGTATTCCATTGTGTGAAATTAATGGCGTGTGATGAGCTCTGAATCCAGGGAGCGGAGAAAGTTTCTCTCTCTGCTGCACTGGGGCGCTTTATAAACTGTGGTTTCTGAGAAATGTTTTGAAATGTCAAATGTTGGTATTTTGTGGGTTAGATAAAAGAAAATGCAGAACAGAGGAAAAACAAAAAAAACCCAATACACTAAAAATCTTAGTATTTGGTTCTCAAAGCCTCTTGAGTAGTATTTGGCACTGGAAATACTTCCTAGCTGGTGGCTGAGCATTTTTTGTTGTTTTCTGTACTGTTAAGGTGAAAAATCCCATTGCCTTGAGTGACACAGGTGGCAAAGCCGTGAGGAGCCTGCTGACCTGAATTGTGGTCACAGATCCGCTGCGGGAGTTGTGTCTGTGCTGCCTGCTTTGCTGCCAAGAATGGGTGTACTGAGTGCAGAAGTTTGTGTGGTTTTCTTAGTAATTTAGAAACCACAAGCAAGGTTTTTATGGTTTTATAGGCAGAGCTGTTTTTGAAAGCACTGGGTGTTTTCTAAAATACGCAAGAGGCTTCTGAGCCTTGTGAGAAATGCAAGCAGATTGCTGATTGCTTTCCGTGAAAGAAAAGTTCCTTAAAACTTTCGACTTTCAGAGCTGCATGAGCATCTTGGATTCCTAAAAATTACACTTGTCTAGGCCCTCAGCCTTTTAGATTCTTCCATAAAGCCAGTGGCTGTGTGACCGCTTGAAGAATATGCTCCAGTCTGAGGCGGAGAGCTTTGTTATTTTGTATTCTTGGTGTTAATTGTGAGTATCACAGTCAGCAAACAATCAGAGAAGTGAAATGATCTTACAGATGTTAAATAACCATGAAGTAAATTGGAGTGATAGGATTTTTATTTTGAAAGAGGAAACTACACCTGTTTTGTTGTGGTTTACAAATATTTAAGTGCTTAAACTAATCGTCAGCCTTGATTTTGAATGAGGAAGCAGAGTAAAATGCACGATGTGTTCAGAGTTTCTCATAGTACTTGCCAGAAGGATCCAAGTTTTGAAAACAGTTGGCCTGCTTTCAGATCCAGATTTTAATGAGATTAAAAGAGAAAGAATGTGCAAGGTTGATTAGGATGTTTGGCCACATTCTGGCAATGGGTCCTGGGAGCCAGCACAGCAAAATATTTTATTTTTTAGCAGTAGAATTGATCTGTTTTCATTTTTCAAAAGTAGGAAGTGGTGGGTAACTGTCAAATGATTACAGCAAAGCGTACTAAGTTAGTATGAGAGAATCTGTGCTGGTGTACACTGACTGCAGGAGGTCTCAAAGGCAATTTTAGTGACCCAGACATTCTCTTCTAAGTTTTTCAGCTGGTTATTTGCCAGTAACAATTTACCCGAGGATTTTGTGGGTTGTGCAAAGCTTTTATAGCAACCTAATTTTGAAACAGAAATTAACACAATAGTCCTCCACTTATCCCTGGGCTAGGGCTTTTCCTACAGTTCAGATGAAGGTCAGTGTTTTAGCACGCTTGAACCCGACAAGGGGGAGAGCGTAGTGCGCTGCAGAACCTGCCAGGAGAGCTGCTGTGTGAGAAAAGATCCATTTACTTAGACGCATACACTCAGCAGAGGATGAAGGAATAAATCAAAAAATAAATATGCAAATTAAGAACTAAAACCGTTTGCAGAAAGTCTCTTGGAGCACACAGATCTACTTTGTCAGCCTCGTGCCAGCGTGTTTTATCAATAAGCATCAGAGATGGTGCAAGGAAGGCTCGGTATCGTGGGTGGTGGGGGAGGTCAGCTTGTGAACACCGTTTGAAATGACCCTGAGTATAAAAAGGCTTGAGAATCACTGAGTTAGTATAAAGGCGATAAAACAAGGTCTTTGGTCCTTATAACAATGATTGAAAGGCTGTTTTCTTTCTCATTTAACATGCAGCAAGGACATATGGGAGAAGGCGAGGTAACAGTATTCCTATTTAATTTTCTAATGTTGACAATGTCTCATGAAACGACATTAAGTTGTTACTAGAGGGCAAACTCCAAAATTTAAGACTCTGAAGGATCGACTTCACATAAGCTGACATAGTCTGCATGCCGTAAATAAATATTGTGACCGATTTAGGTCGTACTCCACAGTGGTGCTGCTGAGGCTGGAGTGAGCACAGTCCTTACAGTGGACATCATCAATGTGATCTGTGACCCGGGAGGCCTGTGTTGCTGTGTTTGTATGTCATGGATGCCAATGCTGGAGAAGTTTATTTTGGTTCTTTTGGGTGCTGATGGTTTTCTTGATGCAGCGTAGACTGTAGTGACTCTACAGCCTGGCCTGCTGGGGTCTGGTTGCTGCAGCAGCGGTGGGTGGTCACGCTGATGAACCCGACGACGTTCTGTAGGGGTGGAGGATTGCTCCCTCCTAACGGTATCTGCAGGATTGGGCTCTTGAAAGATGAAGCAAATGACGTTTGCATCAGTTCATTAGGGGAAAACAAAAGAACGTTTAAGTCTGGATTAGACTATTTTAATCATAATAGGAACCAGATTTGCCTAGCTACAGAACTAGGCCTGATTATAGTTGACTTTTATTTTAATTAAATGTGTACAAAGATTTTTTTTGAATTTCGCACAAGGGAAGCTGACCAGGCCTTCCATTTTTTATTCTTACAAATTCTATGCACTGTGGATTTTAGTGTATCTTTTTTTCTTTTGTCTGGTTAGCAGTTTGAATTTTTGCATGGAAAATATCTGGATATTGAACTAGTCAGTTTTTCTGTTTTCAAGATGTTTTTTAAAATCAGTTTATTTCAAAGGAAGGAAGCAAGAGCAGGATAAATTGACCTTACCACTACATTGCTGTGGTAGGTTGCAGTGAATTCTTAAGCAGACTTAGTCTCGGCGTAGGCAGAAGGAAATGTATCCAAAACTTGTAGCACATCTCATTCATTTGCTTACTTTCCCTATATATATTATTTATAATAAGTATTCCTTAAATGAGTAGAAATCCATTCAATTTGATGTCTAGATACTGAACACCATAACTAAAGGGTGAATTCATGGAAGAGGTCATCTTGTGTGCTCTGTCTATGATACTGTACATTTGCATTTATAACTAAAAGAATCTTATTTGAAAGCAGTAAATATTATTAAGGAAAACTACAATAAGGATTATCATAGAAGAATGTTGGTCTGTGAGGGGCCTTACAACATTTACTCCAGGAGTGAGTCCATCGATGAAACTCTGTTGTAACATCAAAGTAAACTTGCTTTTAGGAGTGGCACGGTATTGCCTAGTGTTCAGTCGTTATTTGGGTCTTCCTGTTTTTATCAGAATATTTTTGTTATTTACAAGTGAATGGTTTACGTTATGTTTTGATATCAGGTAATTTAAATGTGTAGTAAATTTAGCTGGTAGAATTATTGCTTTCCCATCTGTACTGTGAGATTGTATCTACTCATTGTAAGAAACTGTTTGCTGGAAAATGATATATACGGCTTAGGTTTTAGTGATGTCTGCATTTGAAAGTCCCAGAAAAAAAAAAATTGGCTTATATCCTCTTCTAGTTTTACACCTTTTTAGAAGAAATGTAATTGGAAACATGAAATATTATGGAAGATGGTCAACTTGAGTGTCCATTGGAAGTACTGCTTTGTTTCAAATTTTCCTTAGTTGTAGTGCAGTAGTTGTAGTTGTAGTTTCTCTGAAATAATGCCTTTGAGTTACTGAATAATACTGAAAACCATAAGGATCTTACGAAATTGAAAACGTAACCATGTATTAAAAGGGAAGATTACAAACAGTTCTACTGCTAATGCAACAACTAGTGCTTTTAAAAGAAATATTTTAAAAAGTGTGTGCTCTGTTCTGTTAGTGTGGTTTTTTCCCTTTTTTTTTTTTTTTAAACCAATTCTTCAGGTCAGTCTTCACTGTTTCCAATGGAAGATGGATTCTTGGATGATGGACGTGGGGATCAGACTCTTCACAGTGGTTTAGGATCCCCTCACTGCTTTTCCCATCAGAACGGAGAAAGAGTGGAACGGTATTCCCGGAAAGTCTTTGTCGGCGGGCTGCCCCCAGACATTGATGAAGGTATATGGGGAAAATCTTTTCCAGAAAAGCTCTTTCTGGCTTGATCACAAAACTGTTGATGTGAAACCTTTTGTCTGTTAGCTAATGAATGATTGTTTTCTAAACTGTATGGAAGGGCTTTGATACGGAAACGGATCTTTGTGTACTAGCACCTTCCGTGGCAAAGTGAGATAATTCAAACTACTTTAGGCTATAGCATTGTTCTGCCAAAATCATATGTTACCATACCTTTAACTGACTTGATTTTTTTAATAAAGGGATAGTGGTGCAGAAAAAAAAAGGAAATAGCACCTGTTGAAACTCATAAATACATTATTGCAATAATTTTGTAGGCACCAGAAGCCAGTGGTTGAAAAAGTCTTGCTAGTAGCTCTATAACCTTTGTAAAGCGTAGTAAGTCATAGCTGTTTGGATGCTTATGTGTAGCTCTCAGAGGTTGTTTTCAGCAGCGATTATGCCCTGTGGTAGATTCTAACGTGTGTATGGTGAGGACTCAGACAGGAATGAGTCTGTGCAGAGGCAGCTGCCTACAGTGAGGAACCAGGAATTTGTGGTGGGTCCATCAAACAGACACAGGTGACGGAATCCTGCACCATGCACAAATTTTGTGAAGCTCCATTTCACCAAGAGTTTTGTGTATATGAGCATGCTGGGATAGTGGTTAAAGGAGCAACAGCAACTCTAAATCTGAAAAGTTGCTTTTTCTTAATCGTGGAATCATTTTAATACACGCTTTTTGTGTCAGAGAGAGTGATTGTAATGCACTGCAGTGTGTACTACCACGATGTGACAACCTGACTCCGATGTCAGACTTTATTATTAAATGGTCAAATATAACATGGTCTTTACAAGAGGAAAAAAAGATTTTATTATCCCCTCTCTTAGTTGTTGTTGGAGTTTTGTTTGTTTTTTTTGACACTGTTGCCTTTGTGGTTTTAAAAGCAGATGAGCACAGGAATAGTTTGGTCTCTGTGGACCCTGGTTATTGAAGAATAGGGCCTTTCCTAAACCTGTGCTAGAAGGGTAGCTTGAATTTTTCGGAGTTGCTTCTGTCAGAGCTCCTCCTGTTAAATGCACAAGTGTGAATTAGAATAAGGAGTGTAAAATTTAAAATATACACCGCAGCTGAATTTTTGAGGTTTTTCCAGTCCTTTTTTTACAAAGCATTTTGTGTATGTGCTGCAATGTTAAACTTGTATTAAGTGCTGTTGTAAATGGAGATCTATTTTAAGTATAGATGTGTAGTAAGTATTGTTCTCCTTGGTTTGTATCTTCATCAGTGCGTAACCTTGACACATGACCATCACTCTGTACGTTCCTGACGATCCGTAGTGCGCAGAGAAGCTGTCATTACAGTGGGTTATCAGTTGCTATTTCATTAGCAATGTCATAAAAAAGTGGAAGCAAACTGAAGACATAATTAGTAACGCCTTTTCAGATTTCTAACCAAACCTGAGGATGGGAAAGACCCTCTAAATTGTGTATTAGGAATCCCCAGCAGCGTGATAGTATAGAAACCCCAGTAATAGCATGAACGGAATACAGCTGAGCAATATACCGGTTTAGATGACGCGTCAGCAATATAGAGTTTGTTTCTTTTATTTTAAATTTGTAATGAAAAGTTATTGTCCAGAGAACTTTGACTAGCATTGGTTCAAGTGTGCTTGTGGAGGAGGAAAAGGGAATAGTCACTAAATTTCAAGAGCAGAATTGCAACCAGAAGACTTCTAGGGGACTAGCATGGGCAAATTTATAGCAGTAAATGGAGGGCAAAGGCAGGATTGAGATGGATGCAAGAATTGCTTCTTGATACAGTAATATGTTCTTGCCATCTCTCCTATAAAATTACGTAACCGTGTCCGGCAAGTTTGCTCTGTTTTAGCTCGAGGTCGAGCTCAGATAGGGTTTGCACATGTGGCACTGGCATGTGATATGAACAGGCATGGCTGGGTCTTGTGATAGCCCATCTTTTCCGAGTCTTTCTGCAATTATAAGGCATATTGGCAGAGCTGATTGCTTACTGGCAAGTCAGCAAATTGTCTCTCAAACCTTTGTAGGAGAATAGTTGAAGCTGGGTATCATAGTTGCAGTGACTCCATTTCTGCCAATTAGTAGGTTACGAGCTTTTATTGATAATCTTTGGTAAAAGAGAAGCTTGATCGTTGACCTGTCTTTTTTTCTTATGTGTGTTCTGACTTGTAATAAAGATTCCTGACCAGCTACTAAGCTGATGAATCTTTAGGGTCACAGAATGAGCTACCTGAAATCTGCGTTCTTCCAATGTCTTCTGTTCACTTTATTTTAATTTCAGTTCGTGCCTTTTCCTTTCTCTCTCTACAGATGAGATCACTGCTAGTTTTCGTCGCTTTGGACCTTTGATTGTAGACTGGCCTCACAAGGCAGAGAGCAAATCTTATTTTCCTCCTAAAGGTAAATAGCTGGTAACCAGTAATAAATGAGCATTTCAGAATCATTTTGCTTGATAAAACTTCATTTGAGAAAAGATTTTTGTGACAATGATCTATTGTTTAGGGGGAAAAAAGTTGAGTCCTTGGGATAAACTGGTGGAATATGGCTTTGCAGTTACTCTGCACTAATAGAATTCTTGCTTAACTTCCTGTTTTTACTTACTTCACCCCCTGTTGTTCCTAATTTTTATAATAATAGTCAAGAGTAGTCCTTAAAGGGACTAAGTGCCCTCCACAGAAGCTGGGAAGGATTTGTGCCATGTGCTGACAACCATCCTGGCAGGTTTGCCTCCAGTGCTGTGGCTTTTGTTCTGTTCCTGCTGCTGGCTTGTCCTTGCCAAAGGCAATGGGGAGGGAGCGTCCTGTCCCAATCAGTAAGCTCCCTCTTTCCTTCGTGTCTCTGCAGAGAACTTGCTGGAGGTTGGCTTGGAAATGTGTGAGAACATTGTCAAGTTTATCCCTCACTGTATGATAGCACGATGACATGGTGCCAAGTCTAATTCTAGGTTAAATTAGTATCCTGTAGGCAAGTAGAGAAGTTAGGCGTTTGTTTTGCCTTTCGTAGGATACGCATTTTTGCTGTTCCAAGATGAAAGCTCTGTACAGGCCCTGATCGATGCGTGTATTGAAGAAGATGGAAAGCTCTATCTTTGTGTTTCCAGCCCCACTATTAAAGACAAACCGGTAGGTAGAATTGTCAGGGCCTGCACGGTTCATGTGTGATAACCAGAAATTGTTCTCTTCAGATGACTTTTTTTCCTTTCTTCTGTCTTCAGAGTGCTAACATTAAAGTTTCTTTAAGGTGTCAAATTAATTTCTTAAAGAGAAGACAAACTTAACTTATTTTTAGTCTAGACATTACGGAATTTTTTAGTCTAGTTACAGTTCATATTTTTGTTAGAAAATGGTTCGCTAAATTTCACCATCGCAGATGTAATAAATACATTTCTGGACAAGTATTTTATGCTTATTATTGATTAAAATGTAGATTTCATATTGTCTTGATTGTTGCATGTGACATATTTTGATAGAGACAAATTAAATATAAAAATAAAACCCACATGGCATTGAAATGTCAGCTATTAGTACAAATGTTTTTGGGGCCTGATGCAAGTCTGTTAATATTTGGAGAGACTTCTGCTATATTCCTGTACTTCAGATTTGACCATCTGTAGGCAAAATATAAAGCAGCTAGTTTTGCATAGTAAATAAACACACAACTTTACGTGCTGGAGCCTGTTGCATTGAGATAACGCTGGTCGAGTGCTTGCACTTGGCTGGAACGACACGAATAGTGTAGATACGTACACGCCGCTGTAGTTCCTACAGCACAGTTCAGTCATCATTAAGTAAATGTGTAAGTAGAGGGTGAATGTTTTTTCCCAGAACTTTGGGTAACAAGGAAGTGGTGAAATTTAGTGTGATGAAGTGGTCTGTCTTAACACAGCTTGTTACCATTTCGTTTTGAGAAATAATTGCTGAGCAAGTAGAAAACAAGTGTAGAAGGTACAGCCGTTTCAGAGGTGTTCTTCTCTGTAGGATACTGTTGATACTTTGAATTGTGAATGGTTAAAAAAAAAGGCTTTTTGTCCATAGGTTCAGATCCGGCCTTGGAACCTTAGTGATAGTGATTTTGTTATGGATGGTTCACAGCCTCTTGACCCACGAAAAACCATTTTTGTTGGTGGTGTTCCTCGGCCTTTACGAGCAGGTACACTGCGTGTTCCGCAGCACTTGGGCATGTTGAATATGCAGTCTGATTCGGGGAGCAACGGGGGAAACAAGTGATTTGAGCAAGGGAAGTATTAAGTGTTCTTGACACTTACAGTGGGGGATGTGAATACAAATGAACTGTTTTGTTTGATGCTTTTAGAAAAGGTGACCACATCTACACCATTGTTTTGTTTTCCTTTCCGCTTTAGTGGAACTTGCCATGATAATGGATCGGCTGTATGGAGGCGTGTGCTATGCTGGAATTGACACAGACCCTGAGCTGAAGTACCCAAAAGGAGCTGGGCGGGTTGCGTTTTCTAATCAACAGAGTTACATAGCTGCTATCAGCGCTCGCTTTGTTCAGCTGCAGCATGGAGAGATAGATAAACGGGTAAGGTCTTCCAGCTTATTCTATTTTTGTTCGGCGCTTTCTCTAGAAATGCTCTTCTGTGGAAATGTGTGTCATTGTGAAGATTGTAAATGTTATATCAGATTAATTGCATATTTAGGGCTAGATTGTGCCACTCGGATACAACACAGAATAAAAGGAAGGAGTGGTGCAGAGCTGTTGCTGCTGGAACGTGGGAGGCAACTGTGAAGCAGACTTTCTCAAATTGCTGAGCATAATGGGAAGCATGTCAGCTGCCGTGCCCTTTTACAAGAATATTGCACTCGTCATATACTCCCACTGCAAGTATTTGCACTTGTAGTGTTTGTATAATGTTAGGGAGGATGGTATCTGCCAAGGATGGAGCAGTTCTTACTCTTGTTCGGCATCTTCTGAGAGAGTGGCAGAATCTGGCCCTAGTGTTACACGTTGTGTGCTGGGTGTTCTTAAAGAGCATCAGAGCAATGCAGTGTAAACTCCTTAGTGAGCGTTACAGCCTCTCAGTCATCCACAGCTTACGTAAAGGCTGTGTCCGGTTATTTTATTCCTTTATTATTATAAATAAAATGAATATGCCAGGGCAGTTTGCTTGTCTTTGCCCTCTTCATCTATATCAAATGTGACTTTGCCAGTTACAGTGATCTCCAGGCCACAGTTTTGAGAAACTCGGATCATTCCATCTGCCGTTCCGTCTAATTCATGTTTTGTCTCTGGATTTTTCTTACATGACTGTCATTATTGATCTTAATTTTATAGTTAACTACAGAGGAAAATCCCCAAACTTGGCCGATTAGCTGATTATCATTTCACTTCTGCTTTGGCTGTAAAGCTTGGGTAGAGGAATTTTAACAACAATTTGACTGTGGGCCTATGAATTGGAATGTCTTTGTTCTAATCTTGGCTCTAAAATAAGTTCTGTACGGCTTTGAACAAATAATTTGGGCCGCCCTTGTGCAACTTCTGCTTGCATAAGCAGATGCTTGCGTGAATAGGTCCATTGAAGCTGGTGGGACTACAAATTTGAGTAAGTACTTGTGAACTCCAGCAAAGATTTTGCAATCCATTTCCCCTTCCTTCTCTCCTCCCACTCCTCATTTCCCCATTTTGTGTGTAGTTCAAAAGAAATGCGGGGAGATAAGTGCTCGGAGGATTCGTTTTTGGAGAGGCTGGGCACATGAGAGAAGTACAACAGGGGCAATACTACCTTTTATGAATAAAGTACTATTTATTAGTAATTTTTCGAATTAAGTTTTTTTGTAAAAATAAAGTAAGTGACAAGAAGGAGTTTCCTGTAAAATTAGGCAAGGAGGTGCTGCTGAAGGGTGTGCCCTTCCAGGAGATAATGCAAATTAAATGCTCAGTGGCCTGCAGCACCCACCACCGCAGAGCTACTGCTGCGGAGTGCTGCCACCCTAAGCGTGCCTGATGAAGTTGCTGCAATTTAAGCTTTTTCTCTGTAGCTGTACTGAGCACAGCTAACAACTGCAGGCCGTTCTTGGCACATGTGCTTCTGCACACACTGAGTAAATGCGCTGAGGGACTCTGACTATTATCTGCGGGTTGCAAACTTTCACAAAAACTTGTGCCGCAGTAACAGGCTAAAGCAAGCAGAGGTGTAATTACTGCTGCTGTAGTTCGGCCTCTGCGTGTGGCTGGGTAGACATCGCAGAGCAGGAGAATTGCCACGGTAAGGAGGTCTGCACAGCGTGTTCGCAGATTCTCCTCTTGGCACTTGTAGAAAACAACACTCATCAATGTATGCCCAGGCTGAAACTACACAGCAGTCTGGGTGATGGAAGTAGAACGTGGTGTTGGGAACATTTGTCTGCCTCTGCTCTTTCACAAATTCATTCTTCTGAGGTGGCATAGAGGAGTGTTTGAGAAATGCAACTCTAGCAGTGGAAGAGGAGAAAAACTGAGCTTAAAAAAAAGGCCACTGTACTGTTTCCAGGTAGTTTATATGTAATCTATGCACAGATGACATCACACTACTGCAGTGCCCTGTTTGAACCGTCAGAAAATTGAGTGAGTTTAAAAACAGGAGAACTTGTGAACGCCCTGAATGAGCTGACGTACCTCTGAGGCTTGCGAGATACAGAAGGGACCATCCCTAAGCCGGATGTGGAGATAACGAGTAAACTGTAGAAACACCAGCCACAGTCTGGATGGTTGAAAATGTTTATGAAAACATCTAATTAAATGACCTTTAGAGAAGGCTCAAACACTTCTAGAGCAGAAACTTCTACTGATAGTTTTATGTTGTGCTTCTGCTGTCACACGGACCTTTCACGGTTCTGTGGAGCAGAGGAGTGGAGGTGATTACTGGTTTTGAGGTGAATCCGAGCCTTTAGGGGATGGCAGTGTGGCAGATGTGATGTAAAAACATCGGCATGTCTAAACGAGCTGTGCTGTAGCCAGCTTGGATACTTGGAGCGGCAAACTCTGCTTCGCTGTCACAGAGAAAGTGCTCTGGAGTGCTGTGAGCAGAGTTTTGTAGCCCACAGTACAGCCGGCTTCGTTTTGGTATGCAAATGCCTAAATTAAAAGCTAGTAAGTAGCCTGCAGATGTTGCAGTGTAGATGTATCCTTGGAGCACCAGCTGGTAAGTTCCTGTGAGTCATTATCAGTTAAGAACTTGAAGAAATCTTTCTTCTTTCTTGTCTGCTGTGCTGAATTACTGCTCATCATCCGGCCCTTAATGCCAACAGCGTAGGTGGCCGTCAGGCCCACTTTAAGTTTCTCATTAGATCCCAGCGAGATCAGGTGGCTTTCCTTTTGCTGAAAGGACTAAGCTACAGAAAAAGAAAAGAGACATGTGCTGTTCACATTGAAGGTAATAAATGAAATTTTTTCAAGCTGAATATTCAGACGTTGCAATTTGCAGACCACGTGCGTGCTTAATCTGCAGTTACAGTGTTACGGAAACAATTTGCATTCCTACCTGAAAGGGTAGGAACTTAATTGTGCATCACCGTACTTAAAAATAAAGCCTCAGCGTTCTCCAGGGTTTTGATGTGAATCTTTGTGTCAGTTCTGTAACAGTAGGCTGGTTGGTCATCTCTGTAGCTCAGTGACAGTATGCGTGATACTGATGGTCAGCATTGGTTTCTGGGGTTGGTTTTTAAGGATCAAGGAGGACGGTGGGAGCAGGATTGTTCTGGAGTGTCTGTAGATTTGGGTGTTTAACGGCAATGATCACATGGAACAAGGGGTGAATTGTTGACTGTGATCGCAGTCCTGCTAGAACACAGACAAGCAAATAGTGTGGAATTGTCATTATTTACATTGTTATTAAGAACTGCAAACTTTCTTCTCGTTTTCTGCATACAGGTGGAAGTTAAGCCATATGTCTTGGATGATCAGCTTTGTGATGAATGTCAGGGGGCCCGTTGCGGTGGGAAATTTGCTCCGTTTTTCTGTGCTAATGTTACCTGTCTGCAGTATTACTGTGAATATTGCTGGGCTGCTATCCATTCACGCGCTGGCAGGGAATTCCACAAGCCCCTGGTGAAGGAGGGAGGAGATCGCCCGAGACATATTTCATTCCGCTGGAACTAAACGATCACTGCAGTGCTCATATGCAGGCCTCAAATTAAGTGCACTCTTCTGTTCTCCTGATTGTCCCTACCCCACCCTCCCCTTCCTCTTACTCAAGATAGCATGTCCTTTTGTAGTAGTCTGTAATTTAACGATAGTATAATGAAAGAATGACCTATAATATGGGTATTTTGTAGAATCTTGTCATTGAAAACTGTATTGGGAACTCCTTTTCGTATCGATAACATGTTGCAAGTGAGTTGCATTCTCTTGTTTTTACTACCGAGAGAACACTTAATTTCATGCAACGTTTTTCTTAGAGGAGAGAAAAATATTAAGAAAAGAGGACTGAAACAATAGAGTATTTTGTTTTTTTAATTAAATTATTGTTAATAAAGAACTTAAGAATACTTTTATTAAAATAACCGTGTAACAATAACACTATCAGTCTCTTCTGACACTTTTCCCCCGGGGAAGCCTGTTTTTGCCTCTCTTTTTGTTTTGACTTCGGATTTTTCCAGCAACAGATGAAGTTAGCATTTACCTACCAACAGGAAAGAGCATGTTTAAAGCAACGAAAATGCATGAGCAAAGTTGAAGCAGCATTATAATGATGATCTTTTTAAAAATCTGTTAAGGGGTTTGAGGCTGAAATTTTAGCTCTGTATATGTACCTGACCGTGCCTCTTGACTACCACCCACATCCAGATTACTAATGAGATAGGCAGAGCTTTCTGTATTTTCATCAAAATGATTACATTGTAAGAATTCCTGAATGTACAAGTTGAGTAAAGTTACTACTGAGTGGGGAGTGCACTTTTTTCCTTTTCTTTAAGAGAACTCAATTGTCTGGTTACAGCCCTAGAAATCCTACCAAAGCTAGAGTAATGACAACTAGTTAACTGGCGTTTCCTCTCCTGAAGGATAAATATATAGATTTTATTTTTGATGGCTATATATAACTCTATATCCTAATATACTAACATTCATCAGGGGCCAGCTTTTGCTCTCCATTTTGACGTGAAAAAGTAGAAAACCTGAAGATACCTCAAGGATATCACCCGATTTTTACCGAAGTTTTGATATTCTGTTGTGTCACACAAACTTAAATTGGCTGCTTATTTGCTTCCCATCTCAGATGTAAAGTTAGTTTTGAATACCCTCTGACTTAGTTGTAACAGAAGGCGTGAACCTAAGTGGTTTCCAAGTCTTGTTTGGCACCGTTTCCTCAGTTTGTGAGTGAGATGGTGCGTGTGTGCGTCCTGTAGAAAGAGTCCCAGCTAAAATTCCACCTCTTCAGAACTTAGGATGTGGAAATAAAGAAACACAGGTCTTTGAAGTGCCAACATTGCTACGTTAATGCCTGCTTTGTTGTAAACAAGTTCGACCTTGAGAAGCATTAACACAGTGCATGTTAATTGAATGGTAAAGAGTGGGTGCAGGGGTTTAGTTTGAAGTAGTTGAATGAAGGAGTAGTTCTGAAAATGTATTTTTATTCCTTTTGAACTAAGGCCCTGGCCGACTTCTCAAATGAAGACTTAGCAGTGTGCAGACAACCAGGTTTAGTGGCAATCTTCTGAACTGCCTGAGGGGCACGGTACCACCGCAGATTCTCTCAAACCAAAGACTTGCCTCAGCACTGCTCGGAGCGCATGCGCTCCGTTCAAAGCCTTTGTCGGCCCCCCCTCATCCCATTCCCCCAGCCCAGATTATCTTTATGAGAAGCAGTTTTTATTTTCAATACAGGCTTTAATGAACTATACCTTACCAAGTTCCAAAGGTCAAAATGGAGACATTTGCTGTCTACTAGTCAAGTATAGAAAGGGAGCTGCTTTTAATGAAATCCCTGAAAATATTGACAACAGTAATGCAAATGCAGAGTGCTCTTGTGTAGATTGTCAGGGACTTTTTTTTCTCTGAAGTACATAATTATAGTTGGAATGTTCCTTTAATTTTTTTAATGCTTGTAGGTGGCTTGGGGTGTGCTGTTGTGCCGATCCTACCCAGTAAACAGGTGAGATGGGTGACCATTACAAGAAATAACACTGTTTGAGAACTAGCTTTGAATAATAATTTTCCCTTTGTACATGACCTGCTGAATTTCGGTACAGTGTTTTTGTAGCTAACTTATTTTGTCATGCACATAATGTATATTTGTTATGCACTACTTTTGTATATCTTGTTTTTCCAACAGTGAGCATTTTTAGGCACACTTTTCACTGACGGGATATCTCTTTATGCAATACCTCAATTTTTCATATTGCAAAGAGTAGCTTTTTGTACTTTTATTACTGAGAGATCTTCATATACTTCATTTTTTAATATAAATAATTTTAATAAATTTTATTTTCTTATATTCTGCTTTTTATACATTTCAGTGCTCTGCATACATTTTGAATTATGGATGTTGTGCACTGGCAATGCTATTTTAGAATCTGCAGAGAAAAGAAAGCATGTTGCTTAAACATCTTAGCCCAACACCAGGTATTTGGTGTACGTATAATTTAAGAAATAGTATATGTAAAGTTGAGAATTACAGAAGAAAAGCATGAAAGTGACAAATGACACTGTCTTTAGACCCATGAAATTTAAATGCATAAATATAGTGTAGAAATTTAAAAGTCAAGAAACATCAAAATTGTCTACCGCTTCTTACTAAGTTTTTAAAGAATATACACACAAATGCAAACGTTTTTGGTGAATGTTTAGCCATTTTTAATATTAATTAAAAAAATCGGTGTTAGGTGTTTGATGCAGAAACGTGTCTGCTCTTTTAAATTATATTTAAAGAGTAACAGAGAGCCTGCTAGGTGGCAGGCATGTAATGTTAGTATGCATGACTAATGTAAGAAATTGTTATTCTACTAATATTCACTTGTGATTGTGTGACAAGCGTGTTTACAGATTATTTGGTTACACTTCGATTTACAGGGCATAAACAATTATATACATTACTCTGTACTTAACTGGTGGTCACACGTCCTTCTATCCCGTGGCATTTGGCCTTGGGGTTACCGTGTAGCTCCAAGCAGAATTAAGGTGTAACGGGGTTTCCCGGCTTAGGGTGTCACTTGGATTCGCAGGGGGTTGATACGCGCGGAGTTCCAGCGCGCTGGCACGGCGCCGCCCGTGTAGCGACAGTGTAGTTACGGAGTAATTACATGGTTATTTTTGCAATGTAAAATAAAGTGTTTCTGATTATTTTGTATGTAAAGGAACCCCACTGCCCCGTGCTTTTTGGTATAGTATCTACTTCTCCATACACAGACCTCTGCAGAACGCAAATTTAAAACTTGCAGTGAATGACTTTAGCGTTTTATAAGGATGCTGTTGGAAAGACTTGATAATTCACCCCTTTTGTTTTTGAAGAGTTGAAACCTTCTGTTAAAAGGTGATTTAAAACTTGAATGTGATGAATTGTGGCAAGTTAACTTCAAGTTATGTGCAATACCTATTTCAGACTTCTGGAAGATCTTTGCAGTGTAATTTTTTGTTTTTAATTGCAGACATTTAAAAATGTCATTTTCTACTGTTCTAGTAAATCCTCTTTCTTGCTGGTGTTTCTAAAGAAAAGAATCAGAAATCAATCTTTCTACTAATGTAAATTTGAGATTATTTTTAAAAAAAAATGGAATAAAAAGTTTTGGTCATTTGCTTTATTTTATTATCTTATTTTAAAGCTACTGTGATAGCATTGTAAGAATTGGGACAATATTGTATTCAGCTGTTTTATTTTTTATATTTTTAAATTTTAAAGTATAATTAGTTTTTATAATTTTCATCAGATTTTTTTGTTATATTTTTTGGAAGTGAAACTTTTAGCAAGTGGGTGTCTAGTTTTTACTAATCCCTAATATGTTTTTCCCCCAATGTATTGCTCATATTATCAGAAGGAAAAGTTATTTAAGTATGTCAGTTAATTGTACTACTTGGCTGAATTTCCATATAGTTTTTACTGTGTATGGGGAGGTTGTAGTATTTATTATAGCATTTTAAATAAGGGTAATTCATTTTTTATTAAAGTCATTTTCACGTTTAAGTTCATATTTTTGTATGTTCTACTCTAAGTTATATAACACAAGTTACTTTTTTTAAAGAGTTCATTTGTTGAAGTGCTAGTGAAAATTAATGTTATTAAATAGTTTGCAAATGACTATTTATACCAGTATGCATATAATTTTTAAATATTTGTAATGTGAGATGTTGAATGAATAAAACTTTTAACTCAAATGTTTCTTCTTAACTCTTTCATTTTAAGCTTTCTGTCCAAACGTGTTCCTTTGTGGTTGAAGCTCGCGGGGCTCGGGGAGGCGATCCTGAGGACGTGTGTGGCACGCGTCTGGCTGTGCCACGTGTAATGGGCTTCAGGCGGAGAGTTCTGTCACCCTGTGCTGGTCAAAATGTGGAGCAGGGCTTCGAGGGGGTGGTGAGGGAGGGTGTGACCGCTTGAGAGATGCCGAGTACCCCGAACATGGCATTAGGTTGGTGCAGCGTGAGCGTGCAGGGCTGCCCAAATGGAAAGGGCGGTGTCTAGAGGGCGGTAGAACTGCTCTCTGCTGGAGTGGGCTCTGAGAAGAACCCTTTTTTACTGCTTGTGTCCAGGTGGTGTCTTTAGCGAGTGTCGAATGCCAGCTACTTACTTTTGTGAATTTGGTGCGTGTTGCGTATTCATTAGAAATTGTGTAGCTTTAGAAAAAAGCCTTTCAGCAGCTTCAGCGCTCCTGTTTCTGTTTTTTGCACAGCCTTAAGCATGTCAACCTGGCCAAAGGGTTGTAGTTGGATCACTTGTTTCTATTTAGTGCTTTCTGCAGCTAATTCATAGGGACAAAGATGAAAACCAACACACGGCTGCGAAATTGAGCTACCTGGACAGGTGACATGTTCAATGAGAAAAACATGACTGAGGCACATACAAGGCACTGTGCAGCTGGGATAACTGGGCTGGGGCCAGAGCAGAGCCAAGCAAGGTGTGGAGAGATGAGGATTCTTTCTTGCCTCATGGTTGTAATTTGATATTAACAGAAGGGGAAACTGGCATTTTAAAGAGCTTGCTAGCGTCAGCCTTTAATTTAAAATACCTAAACTCAAAATGTCTAGAAAGCCTTGTGAAGTGTCAAAACTGTATCTGCCCTTCAAGGACTACTCAACAGGAACCATGTGTAAAGGGTTTGAATTTTGCATGCTTGGTAGGCTGGAATTCTCCAAACTTTGTTGGTTTTCTTCCCTTGATATAAGCAGCAAAGCTTCAGTGAAATGTAATTCTGACTGATCTGGAAGCAGCTCTGCCGGGTGGGACCGTGAGTTGGGATATGCTCGTGTACCTTGTGCTAAAAAACGGCTGCCCACGGTGCAGTACTGCAGCAGGAGTCAAGCTCTGCTCCCTGCACTGGCTGGCACTTCACTCTTGGCATCTGGGCCACTAATCTCTTGTGCCATCATCTAAGGAATGGTGGTGTGAATGTTAAATAGATGTCGAGTATCGTTCTTTTCTGTAGCTGCTTCAGGAAATGCAGATCTTACAGAATGGAGCCGTAATGGGATTAGTTCTGCAAGATGCTAATCACTTCAGTTCCCACTGGCTTCGGACGATGCAAACTTAGAAGCTAATGCCTTTAGAAACTAGTTTTTGACAAGAATGAACAGTTTTG